CATTGTCAGCAGCATCATCACCACTACCATAACCATCATCACCACCATCACCATCATCACCACCACCACCATCACCATCATCACTACCATCATCACATCATCATCACCATAATCAATATCACCATTATCAGCATCAGCATCACTACTACCATAACCATCATCACCACCATCACCATCATCATCACTACCACCACCATAACCATCACCATCACCATCACCATCATGATCACCACCATCACCATCACCATCACAATCAATATCACCATCATTATCAGCATTATCATCACCTGCAGGAAGCCTCTGCTTGTCAATACTGTCACAGGAATGCACCAAGGAAAGCAGAAGGCCAATGGACCTTGGGCGTTAGCAGGGCTGTGTTGAGATAGTGGTGGCTCAAGGCAATTCCCTAATCTGATCATCCTTTTACTGTTTACCAAACTTTACCTTTGATATGCCTGTATGCATTACTAAAGAGCAAATGTGTATTCAAGTAAATAGCAGACCAGGCCAGAAGTCGGTGTGTCTCTTCAAGAAAGAGGCTCCCCCTGATCCCCAATGCCTTCTAAATTCATATTTCTTGTATAGCATTTTCATTTGTGCGTCGGCCCCTCCTTCAGATCCTGAACCCCACTGTGAAGGTCGTGGCATCCACCACCATCATCACCACCACCATCACCATCATCATCATCATTATCACCATCATCACCATCACTACCATCATCACCACTACTTCCATCATTAAGATCAATATCCTCATCTTCACAATTCTTTTCATCAACACTCCCACCATCACCACTGTCAATATTGCCATCAATGTCACCATCATATTATTATCATCAGCAGTGATACTTCAGTGAGTCTTCATTACCACCATTGTCATCACCATGGTTACTGTTGTCATCCTCAGCATCAGCATCACAACTATTTATTGAATGCTTATTTATGTGTCAGATACTGCCACAGAGGCTTTACATAAATTATCTAATTAAATCCTCACAACCATCCTGTAACATTTTTCAGATGAAGAAAATGAGGCTCAAAGAGGCTAAGGAACTTGTCTGAGGTCACACAACTAGTAAACGAAGGCGGGGGTTACATTCCCACAGAGTCCTGTGAGCTCAGAGTCTGAACTCTTTCCCACTACTCCACACTGTGCCTGTTGGAGGGAACTATTTGTTATGTAGCATTGTGGCAGCAATACTGACTAATACAACCACTTCCCAGCTGTGTAATCTTGAGAAGGTTACTTCACCTCTCTGAGCTTCTACTCCTACACGTGACATAATAATACATATGTCACTGGTTCTAAAACTTTAGCCATCAGCAAACCATGTTTAGGAATATTTTGCTTTATCTCCCTATAATCCATATCACTGTTTACTTAATGCTTTTCTTAAATCAATTCACAGTTTCTAAAAGTCTAAATTCTGACTTCAGTCTCAACCTAAGCAGTAATATCCATGAGGTGCCATTTATTTAATTTCCATATGCACTAAAATACTTTAACATTTTCAATGCCTATATTGCCTCTAAAATCACTTTGTGCACCACCAGTGGCACGTAATATGCGGATATATATTAGGTATAAGGCAGGGTTTAGTGACAATCACGTTAAACGGTACCCTGAGCTAAGTGCCTGCTACACACTGAACACTGTGTTGCTGCTGATGCTGGTGATGGAGAGAAGTCACAGCCTATGAGGCGGGGTGCAACTCACTGATCATCGTGGTCCCGCCCGCCAGTGCTGCCCTGGTCCCTTGGAAGAAGTCATCGGCGGCGGTCATCCCCTGGGACGGCTTCTGCAGGTACGTGTTGACGTCGATGCCCCCGGGAATCACCATCCGCCCGTTGGCCTCAATGGTCTTCACTCCACCAGGAACGATTAAGTTCTCTCCTATTTGTCTGGAGACAAACAAGAGAGAAGGCGTTGGTTCTTTGAAAAAGGAAATGGTACCAGCCACCTTGCAGCTTCAGACCATCAGGGAGAAACACTTCCGAGCCAGGCCCCATCCCGGGCACTGGGCGGACAGAGACAACGCAGGCAGGACCCTGCCCTCGAGGGCTCAGGTCTAACGAGGAGGCAGGGCATGTCGACAGATGGTCACGATCCAGTGCAGCAGAGGGTGGGTCACGTCAGTAGCCTGGTTATCTGGGAAGGCTTCCAGGAGGAGGTGGCGGCAGCGCTGAGACCAGCATCACCATCAAGTGGTAAAGGACTCCCCGGACAGCCCGTCACTCCAGAGCACGTCACACACCTCTAGCAACTGGCTCGGGTACGGAGGGGAGTGTTTGCAGCGAGACAGAGTGAAAAGCCCCCTGGGCCCTACGAGCTTTCAGACAGTGTGATGGGCTGAACTGTGCGCCCCCACATTCCTAGGTTGAAGCCCTAACACCGGACCTCAGCATGTGACCGTTTGGAGACGGGTCACCAGATACAAGGAGGCCGTCGGGCGGGCCCTGACCCAGCAGGACTGGTGTCCTTATAAGAGGAAGCTACACGGAGCCCACGTGCCCAGGAGCAAGGCCATGTGAGGACACGCGAGCAGACGGCTGTCACAGCCGAGGGAGAGGTCTCCTTAGGAACCAGCCCCGCACACGTCCTGGACTTGCAGCCTCCAGAGCGTGAGAAACACGTGTCTGTGACTGAGCCTCCCTATCGGTCTGGGGAATTCTGTCACGGAGGCCCGAGCAGACTAACACCCGATCTCCGGAGGGTGGAGAGGGGACCGATGGGGAGAGAGTGGAGAAGGACTTTAGCCCAATGCATGTCTTTCCTGTAAGTGCCCAGGCGCTGTCCGTAGCCAGACAGTCCTCTCTCTCCCGGCCCCTCACCCAGCTCTGGAGATTCCGAGCAGGTGGAAGAAAACTGTGAGCTCAGTCGGGTGTACGAGGCTGGAATTCACACAGCCCCTCACTGGGTCTGTGACGCGGGACAGACTTCTCCCTGCCCGCCTCTCCCAGGAGGTAGAGCAGGGACCCTGTGTGTTTCCCAGCCTCCACGGGAGCTGCAGCCTGCATGAGGCTGTGGCAGAGCCGGGCACGGGGGTGGGGAAACTCAGTAAACACTAGGACCTCCTCCACCCGCAGTGTAAACCTCCCCAAATCTCTCCAGCCCTGATAGTCACAGCAACACGGCAGTCACTGTGGAGCAGAGCCCAGCCTGCCATTCCCTCTGAGACTGGCTTCTTAACAGGTCTGTTTGGCCCGGCTGGTATGGCTCAGTGGTTGAGCACCAACCTATGAACCAGGAGATCACGGTTCAATTCCTTGTCAGGGCACAGGCCCGGGCTGTGGGCTTGATCCCCAGTGGGGGTGTGCAGGAGGCAGCTGGTCAATGATTCTCTCTCATCTTTGATGTTTCCATCTCTCTCTTCCTCTCCCTTCCTCTGTGAAATCAACACACACACACACACACACACACACACACACACACACACACACAAGGTCTGTTTGGTCCACGCACTTTATAAGCCCGTCTTCCAGGTAGACGTCGGCATAGAAGGACTGGTCATCGTTGATGATCCGTCCACCTTTGATGAGGAGCCGGTCACTCTGAAAAGAAAGCAAAGTGTTAAGTGTCACTGGGGAAAAGCCAGGAGGTGTTTTTGTTTGCTTTTAACTTTTAATATAAAATTATTCAAACATTTTCAAAAGTAACAAGTGGCGTAAAAAAGCAAGGCCCAACAATCTGGAATCTCGAGCTCTTGGTAGAGTCTGCTCTCCCACTTGCTTTCGGTCTCTGCTCAGCGTCACTTACCTGAGAGCCCTCCCCGGCTGCCCTCTTAGGATCACTATACACCGCTTCCTGCCAGCCGACCCCACACCCCTCCCCCATTTATGGTTACACAGCACTTACTGCAGTGCGTCTGACATACTAGGTATTTACGTTTGTCTGAAATGTGACTCCCCACGGGCATCAAAGCTGTGGTGTGTTAGTTACCCCACCGGCTGAGTCCAGCGCATATCACAGAGGGTCAAACACACACGCATGGGTGTGGATGGATGGCGCCACCTAGAGCTGAGCCCTGCACTTGTCCTTACGAGACTGTCAGCTCCAAGGGGGCAGAGATGTCATCCATTTTACTCACAGCTGCATCCCCTACACCTTGGACACAGCCTGGACAGATGGATGGATGAAAGGATGGGTGGGTGGATGGATGGTTGGAAGGAAGGAAGGAAGGAAGGAAGGAAGGAAGGGAGGAAGGAAGGAAGGGTAGATAGATGGATGGATGAATGGATGGACAACTGGGTGGGTGGGTGGATGACTAGGTGGGTGGGTGGATGAATGAGTAAATGAATGGATGACTGGGTGGGTGGATGAGTGAATGGATGGGTGGATGACTGGGTGGGTGGGTGGATGAATGAGGAAATGGATGGACGAATAGAAGGATAGATGAATAGATGGATACCTTGAAGGACGAATGGGTGAAGATGGAGAGAAAGGCATTGCAGCCACGAGACAAGAACTAAGAGCCACGATCCAAGGAGGAGATGTGTGAACCGGCACGTCCTGTCCCCCGGCAGGAGGGTCTCTGGAGGGAGGGGCTCCAGCTCAGTCAGGGCCCGGCCCAGCACCTGCCTCTTATGCCTGCGGGAGAGGCCAGCCAAGACGTGTGCGTCACAGGGAAGACGCCCTCTGGAGGGCACTCCAGGACCAAAGGAAAGAGGAGGCGCGGGCTGTGCACATGCAGACACAGAGACAAGGGGGTGTGCAGGCTCCAGGCACCAGGAAGCAGGGAACTGTGAGTCACAGGCAGCTGGCGCGTGGCTTCCTGGACACGGCCTCCCACTTCTAAGAGAGGGCTCTCAGGCTCCGCCTGCAACATGGCATTAGGTGTGCTGTGAGCCGAACACCAGCCCCACCTGCTCTGCTCTTCCTGGAACCCACGGTGGAGCTCGGGCTCATACCCCACCCCTCCCAGCACCCAACTACCAGCAGGTACCGAGGCAGCTGCTGCACACGGGCCCACGCTCCTGCTGTCCTCAGGGGCCAGCGTTTTTCTTAAAATATAAGCCCATGACCCGGCAAGAGCTTATGTGACTTTCTCGTTATCTGTGCCTTTGCCTTTTAATTGGCATTTTCCAAGCCACGTTCCTTGGGACCCTCGGTCACAGGGGTTTTAGCAGCTGGTGTCCCAAAAAGGGAATCCCAGGTGTCGTGAGCTTAGAAAAGTCTGGGTTAAACAGAAGCCAAGGCTGTCTCTGTGACAGGAACTCCCAGGTCCTTTACTCCTGGGTGTGATGTGCATATTCACGAGGGAACCAAGCTCACGGCTTTCCCAGCGGATCCTTTTGTTTTGCGGGAAACGCTGACCAGGAGACTTCCCCGCAGGAGGCGTCCGGGGATGTGCTCCAGAGCCCGAAGGTCCTGCCTGCTCGGACCCTCATGGCGCGTCCGGTCCGACCGAGGGGGGAGCGGCTCAGACGGGTGACTCCCAGGTTCACACACAAACAAGGGCGCAGGTTGCCTTTCCTAGCTTCCTCCCCCGCGTTCGCTCCATCAGACACACTCTGTCACATCTTAAAACATGTTCAAATCCATCACATCCCATAATCAGATTCCATCAGGAAAAACCCAGGGCTGTGATCCACGGGCCAGTTCCCTGGGGCTCTGCTTCTTCACTCAGCTAACTCACAGCAAGAGCCAATTGTGTATGGGACACCAAATTTTAAGAATTTCGTAAAAGTCACACATTAAAAAAAAAAAATAAGAATACACTGCCTCTCCCAGATTACCACGAGGGACAAACAAGATATGTGAGCGAGGACAAGCTCTGTATAAAAATCGCTGTTTAAATACTCCGAAGAAAATAAAATAGCTAATTCGAAATCCAACAAAAATCTGACTGTCAGGGTGCCGGAGACGGCCAGTTCCGGATTACGACCCGCTCGGCTCCTGTCCCGGATCAGGGTGCGTGAGAATGAAGTGTCCAGAGTCAGACAGATGTGGGTTCCGATCCCTCCCCTCTTCCCATCCAGGTGACTCAACCCCTGCTGGCCTCAGTTTCCTCATCCGTAAAATGGGGATAAGTGTCCCTGTCTCCTAGGGCTGCAGGGAGGACTCCTGGGGACAGTTCCACCATGATGGGTGCTCTGTGCTGAGCACAGGCCTGGCTCATGGAAACCGTGGGGACAGCTACACACCGTTAACTCCTCACCGTTCTCTGCAGCAGGAACTCCGCTCCATACACAGCTGTTTAAGGAAGGAGGGTGCCGCTAAAAGAAGCAGTTCTCAGGCCAGTGGGGGCACTGAGTCGTAACCCAGCCTTTGCACCCAGGCTGGGAGGGCTGGCAGAGATTGGCAAGGAGGCCTCCACGCCAGCCCTCCCAGGGAAAATGAGTAGGATTTAGCCCCACAAAAAGGAGCAAAGAGCCTGCAGAGAAGGGGAGAGGCACGGAGGCCGCAAGGCACCCGGTGGGCTCGGGGGTCTGTCAGCGGTTTCCTCTGGCTGCACTGTGGCCTCCGAGGGCACCTGGAGGGGTATGCAGGTGCCCGCTCACGGGGACCCTGAGGGACTCTAACATCCTGGGGGAGGAGCCTGGGCTGGCGGCGAAGTAACTGCAGGGCTTGCATCAGGGAGGAGCTCAGACACACAGAGGGCCCTGAACGAAGACATCGTGGGAACCCTGGGCAGAAGGGGATGAAGGGACACTCGTCACCTTCACACCCTCCTCAGAGCTGGCCTTTCTCAGTTAGAACAAGTGCCGACCAAGTTTGCACACGGTGTCAAGGGCCTTAAAATGGGTCGTGACTTGACCTAGAAATCCAGCGCCGGGAACTCGTCCTCTGGAAAATGTCCCGACGCAGGGCAAGGACTGCACTGAAGTGTGATCCCGAATTAATTCCCATCGCACTCCCGCACCACCAACGGGGTGTCGTTCAGATACTAAAATGCTCCCTGGGGACTTCTGAGAACGAACAGAGGCACTGAGCAATGACATGTTAGGTGAAAAAATAAAATTTCTATGGTGGTATTCGGGGGTGGGTAGATCTTTCTGGCAGTAACTGACTCCCCCCAACAGAGAGTTTGGGGTGCCGCCCCCATGTCTCTGCTGCCCATCCCTCTCCCATTACAGTCATCACACTTCATGGTCGCTGTTCACATGACCCTCCCTCGGTTGGACACCTTCATGGCCAGGAGGGCCTGTGCCATTCATCGCTGTGTCCTCAGGGACCCGCCAGGGGCTGCGAGGGCACCGTATTTAGCAAATGTTTGCTGAGCCGGAGGAGAGGGGCTTGACAGGCAGGAGGCAAAGGAAAAGGGAGGAAAAAGCAAGAGAATATTTGAAGAGAGTGAGAAGGAGAGAGGAGAGTGATATAAAAATTATAAAGAGCCCGGCCAGCTTGGCTCAGTGGTTGAGCATTGACCTATGAACCAGGAGGTCACAGTTCGATTCCTGGTCAGGGCACATGCGTAGGTTGCAGACTCGATCCCCAGTAAGGGGCGTGCAGGAGGCAACTGATCCATGATTCTCTCTCATCATTGGTGTTTCTATCTCTCTCTCCCTCTCTCTTCCTCTCTGAAATCAATAAGTATATATTAAAAAATTAAAAATAAAAAAGCTACAGGCATTACCCAGCTGGTGTGGTTTAGTGGTTGAGTGCTGGCCCATGAACCAGGAGGTCAAAGTTTGATTCCCAGTCAGGACACATACCCGGGTTGCAGGCTCGATCCCCAGTAAGGTCGTGTGGGAGGCAGCCAATCAATGATTCTCCCTCATCATTGATGTTTCTCTCTCTCTCCCTCTCCGTTCCTCTCTCTGAAATCAATAAAAATACATTTTTTAAAATGTCAGGCACTCCTTCCCATACAACAGCAAAAGAAACAGCAGCCTCGGCTTGGGGGGAGGGTGGGGGGAGGTCCGGATCACAGTGCATTTCTTGCGTCACCGTCTATCCCTGAGCAAAGCATGAAACCTCTGAGTTGTGTTCCCCCCACTGCATGGTGGGAAGAAAATCCATCACCTCCACCAGAGTCAGAGGAATAAAACATCCGTTGCGGCCTGAAGATCCTCAGGAGAAAAGAGAAGTGCTTTTCACATCAAACCCACACATAACCCATAATCACGCGCTTAGCAACCTTGGCTGTCTGGTAAACAGCAGAGAACCAAAGCTGTTATTACAGAGACAACAGGGAAAGAGAGAGGCTATGTCATCCAGGAGGGGGCGTCTGAGCTGGGTTCTGAAATATGAGAAGTTCAAGCAGCTGCAAAAAGGAGGAGAAGGGGCACATTGCAGCCAGGTAAGCAGTATATGCCCAGACAGACAGCGTGCTGAGAGATCCAGGTAGAAGAATGGAAGGAGGGTGTGTGCTGTCCATGGTCCTGAAACGCCCTGGGTACCCGGACAGTGAGGTCTCTCCAAACCCCAGGATGCTGAAGTTCCCTCTCTCGCCTGCCTCGCCCAGCCTGTATTTCCTCACTGCTTTTCTTGCTCAGCTCACTGGCATATCCGTAATCTTTACGCTCCTGCAGAACCAAAGCAACCATGGCTTAGAGTCGGTTTCAAGTCCTTTCGACTCTTAGTACCAACCCCTCACTACTTTACTTCT